ATGTTGTTGAACTCCCACGTAGCCGACCGCAGTTCGAGTCCTGGACCTGATGGCTTAAACTCAAGCCAGGCGCGTGTGCGTACGTGCCCAAGATCCGGAAAGGAGAATGGAGGGGAAGGATTGTGGTGTGGGGGTGATTTCTCGCTTTCTATCTCTCTTTCTCTCTCTCTCTCTCTCTCTCTCTTTCTGGAGAGCGCACGCGCCCTATAGCAAAAAAAAACTCTCAAAAAAAAAAAAAAAAAAACCACACCTCACACACCCAAAATCCCTAGAGGCCAACAGAGTAGATGAGACTATGGCAAAAACCTGAAAAAAAGAAAAGATAGTAAGTTGAGGGTGGAATGGAAAGATGTTAATGAACGAGAGTGAATGAGTAGCCGTGAAATTAGGAAATGACATGGGAGAAAAAGGTAATGGCAGGTCTGAGACGGACAGCTGGAGCTTCCTGCTTGCCCGGCGTTCATTCCTCCTTCCGGTGTTCTGATCCTGCTTTGAAAACCACCTCCTTCCTCCCCAGGCACAGAAGGGGCTGCCAGAATATGAGGAATATTCCACGTCTTTATCTCGGGGCGAACATGAGTGTTCACCTTATTATTTAAACAGTACAGACAGATTTAATTCTTTAAACTACAGCCACATTTTTATATATTGTATGTACATACTTCACTTTTTTTTTTTCTCTAATTCCCTCTCCTCATCCCAAAGGTAAGCACCCGATGCTGCCCTAGGCGATGAGAGTCACAAAAACTGGTTTAGACACCTGACCCAGTTTAAGCCAACGAGACACCAGTCCAGGGCTGTTGTCAGAACTATCAGGAAAGAGGTGTTCTCTTCTGCTGGAGCCCTGAAGCTTGTTAGTAGAACATATCCCTTCACTAGCTTGAGAATAAAACTAACTCGAGGCAGCAGAGCCAAGAGATGGGAAGTGACTGATTTCCAATATCATTTGAATACCTTGCTCCAGCCATTCCTGAAGGCAAAACACCTAGACCTTTTCAAAATATGTCCAGGAGGGTTTTTTTGTTTTGTTTTTTTCTTTGTCTAGCCAGTTCGTGATTGGGTTATATCCTTTTAACTAAAAAAGAATCTTAACGAATTCAGTGAACTAGTCAAACAAGGTATTCTCGATAACACAGCTTCTGTGATCCTTTTCAACACACAAGTCAAATCATCCTTTCTCCTGCTCAAGACCCTCTAGTGCCCTCTCCCACCCCCTCCAGGCATTTTGAAGTAAAGGCCAAAGTCTTCAGGGTGGCCTGCCAGGCCAGGCCCAAGATAATCTGACCCCTCCCTTCCCTGCCCTCTGCCTAAGATTCCCCACTGCACACTCTGCCGCAGCCATGCTGGTCTGGCCTAGGTTACCTGACACACCAGGCATTAGCCTTCAGGCCTCTGCCTCAGCTGTTCCCTCCACCTGGGCATTCTTTTCCAGGTATCTACCCTCTAACTCCCTTACCCCCTTCAAATCTCCAGTTCTCTGTAAGGCCTCCCTGAGTGCCCCACCCCCGGCCAGTGCTCCTGAATCCTCTATCCCTTCCTTTGCCGTTTCTCCCACACGTAGCATTTACTGCATAATACACTGTGAACTCACTAGAATGTTTGCGGTGAGGGCAGGGGTCTTTGGCTGGTTCATTCACATCAAGTTCCTAGCACTGCAGTAGACCCTCATATATTTGCTGAGTGAATAGAAAGAATGACACAAGTTGGGACCAGCAGATGGCGTAATAGTTACGTTGCTGGACTCCCACGTAGCTGACTATGGTTCAAGTCTTGGACCTGGTAGCTTGGGACTCAAACCAGGCACATGTACGTGTGTACCCAAGATCCCAAGAGGAGAATGGAGAAGGGATTGCAGTGTGGCCATCTCTCCTGGAAGATGATTTCTCGCTTTCCCTCTGTCTCTCTGGAGAGCGCACACACCTATAGCAAAAATCTCTCAAAAAAAGAAAAGAACTGAAATGACACAAGCCTTAAAAGCACAGAGCTTGGTGGGAAACGGCAATGGAGAATGGAGGGAGAGCATGAGTCCCATCTCCTTACCCTGATATCAGTGGCCTGAACGGCTGGAAGTAGTTGAAAAGTTCGGTGAAGAGATAGAGGATGTGGGAAGAGGTGTTAACCACAGAATGGGGCTGGAGAGGGGTTAGGTATGAAGTTTTGGGAGGCACACAGAACTTGGCAGCTGAGTCAGAGGAGAAGCATCTCAGAGCACTTTACATAAGAAAGTACAAAAAAATAGAAAGATAGGCCAAGTGGTTTATTTACATTTTAGGTGAAGATAAAAGATACGGTGATAGAAGACCTGGTGAGTTGAACTGGCATCAAAAGAATGAGTCCTAATAACCCTTGTAGATGGAAAGAATTCCTCTCACCACACCACGGTTGGAGGGACCTGTGAAGCTGGCGGGTGACGGGAGAGTCCCCACACTTGGTCTTCCTCGCCTACCCAAGCACTGCGGAGGCCTCTCCAGCTGACGCTAGACCGAGCTGTTCACGCTATCATCCTGGGCTCCACAGAAACCCCCTCTGCATAATGGTTGAGCACCAGGAGCACAAATCTTCATTCCTCTTGCCTGAATCCTGTCATCCGGGACCACAATCCCAATGTCCCAAAATGCAAACATGCAGGCTTCTTTTCAAAGACAGACTACAACACGCAAGTTCCCTCCCTGCCCTCCAATAACCCCAAGGCTGCCCAAGCCAGGGAACGCCGGGCAAAGGCAAGGCTTCCTTCCCCTTGCTCTGACTCACCTCTCTTGCTTGCTAGATGCTCTGCGCAGAAATTTCTCCAGAGTTATGAGAACATAGGTGTATGCCAAGATGCAAGGAAAATGTTACTCTCCAATCAGAGAAACAAATGACAATGCTTAGCCTCTAAGGGAAAGTGCCTTTCTCTAAATCAGGCCCTTGAGAATGGTGCCATTTAGATGTTCTCCATAGCTGTTAGGAGACTTATAGTACATTCAATAATTAATAATAATGCCTTCAAGACTGTCTCTCTCAATGAACTCACGGTAAAAGAAGCCATCAGTAATTAGACCTTGAACCTGACTCCTGGCCCGCCAACTAGATGTTGGTGGTACAGGGCTTTTGTCCTTCAAGCACTTAATAAATTGCCCATACTTCTGAGTCAGGTATCGTCCAAGGACAGATCATTAAGCAAATATTTAAAATACCTGTCTTTAGTGGCCAGCCTCCAAGATGGCCCCAATCCCCACCTCCTGGTACTCACTCCTTCCCACATCGTACCAGTGTCTGCCTATATGACCAATAGAATACAGCCAAGGTAGTCATGTCTGAGATTAGGTTATCCGAGGTGGGCGATAGTCCTGGACTCTCTTACATCACTTGTTCTGGGAAACCAAAGGCCATGTTGAGCAGTTCTGAGGAGAGAAACGAAGGCCCACCACCAGCCCCGTGAGTGTGGTGGGAAGCAGATCCTCCCCAATCCATCCTTCAGCTGCCTGCAGCCCAAGCCAACAGCTTAAGTGCAACCTCATGAAAGACTCGGGGTCAGAATTCCCAGGTTCTCTCCGATTTGGGGGCCACACACACTAACTCCAGGTGCCAAATGTTGGGGTAGTTTGTCACTCGGCAACAGTGGGTAATTCACTATCCTGTACAGAACTGCGAAGACATCGGGTTTTAACCTCAATTTCTATTTTTATTCACTGAAAATCAATTTCTCTGTCCATAAGAAAGCATCACATTACTCATTCAGTCATTCAACAATTACGTTCTGATGTTCAATATGGGCAAAGTATTTCCAAGTGACCCAGGTCTTCATATAAACTTCTATAAAATACGAAGACGTAATCTCGAAGAGACCATACACATAGCAAACCTCTCGATCCACTGTTTCACGAGTTTTTAAAGTTCTCTTGTTCCCTGCTTCCACAAACCCTCTAAAGGTACAGTCCTACTCCCTAGCTATGTGCCCTGACGGTGAAACAGCAGGCTATATTTCTCATACTCATTTTCTCTGTTCCTCCTGCCCTCCCATCCAAGCCCAGGAAGAAAACTGGGTTCTTGATTCAATTACTATTGGGACAAGGAAGAATTCATTTAATCTTTTACTAGGGGGAGGAATTCCCGATCACAACTGCTGAGAACAATTCTAATTTCTGCAATTAGTGACTAAGTAGCAACAGCAGCTGATACAATCGCTGCTCAAGTCTGGTCACAGCTGAAATGATGATGAGGGCAGGAGGGCCACCCCTTACTCCTGGCTGGACTCTCCACACAGCAGGGAGAATTGTTCGCTCTAAGAAAATCAAGAGCCTCTCTCTGCACAAAGAAGGTCAAAGGGCGAGCTTTCTTTCTATCAACCACAAAACCAGCTTCTGCCAAACCTAAACAGTGTGGTAGGCCCTCAGAGGTGAATGGAGCCCCAGACAGAAAACCACAGCGAGCCCCTCCTCCCGCCGCCGGCTGGGGTCTGAGTCAGGTGACTCCCCAGGGCAAACAGCAACCCTAAACAAAGATCACTCCCCACATGACTGCCTGGGGGGGAAGAAGACGACTCTCGCAGGCCGATGCGGGCAGCCCAGCCCGACCAAGGAGAACCATTAACTCTTGCTTCTTTGCAGTCTCAGGAAACTAGAGGAGCCACAAGTTACTCGGCAGCTGAGCCTTCAGGGATATACCTGGAGGAACTTAAGACCCCATCCCACCGCACCGGCACCGGCCCCCGCCCCCGCCCGGACCACTGCACACATGCTCTTGCAGGCGAGACCCCTCCCCACCAGCTGTCACCGGCGCTTGCAACCAGTCACAGCCAGGACCGTCCCCTCTGGTCGCTGCCCCGGCTGCTGCGACCCCGCGGGGGCGGCAGAGAGGAGATGCTTTTTCCTAGGGCTCAGGGGGCAAGGGCGCGCCCGTCCCCCATGAAGGGGCGCCAGGGTGGGCGCGGTCCCATCCCAGCGTGGCTCCGGGTCCATCACCCACCCCTCCCCCAGGGACGAAATGAGCTCCCCAGTCCGCAACCCCAGGCGCCCCACCTTGTCACCGAAGCTGCGGGCCATCAGCAGGTCCGGACTGGGCGTGCTATCGCCGCCCACGGCCTCCTCGCTGCTGGAGCCGGCCAGCGGGTGC